AGAAATATGAATGGAAAGCCCACTACATAAATATAAAACCAATGTGTTGTCATATCACAGAATGATTCATCTGATCAGTGTAAGAAAGGAGAATCTCCTGGTTGCTCAGAGAGCAGGAGCACAGGTGTGAGTAGTATCCTAACAACGTCACAGTGGCATAGCTCCTACTGCTTCACATCGTCTATATAAAAGAGCTGACCATAAAAGAACTTGGGCTTTATATGAACAACAGAAAGGGGATTAGGAGGAGATTCAAATATAGCACAAAAATTAGCTGAAAGATCAAATGTTAGAATCCATTTTGAATTCAGAAGAGGAATCCTTGGGAAAATATCAAGATGTGAGGAATAAAAACAATTATTAGTCCTTTGACAAGTTCTAAATATATGCCTGGGAATAACTTCTCAACTTCCCATTATTGAGATTTCATTTACTTTCAATAGGGTTTCTTATATGTGTGAAAATTTGTTTCAGACACTATTGAGAAAAATTTATAATATTGCATGAAGGTATGCAGCAAAAAATGCAATTTATTTTAGAAAGATTATCTTCATGTGTTTGAAAAGTTTAATATTTAAAGATTGTGTGTAATCACATAGTATTAAAATTTTGCATTATTGTGCCTCTTATTACATCAGTTTAACATTTAAATTTGTAGCAGAACATCTTTAAAAGTTTTTTATTTTAAAGAGAATAAAACAAAAGAGAACAGAACAAAGCAAATCAGAACAGAACAATGCAAGCAACACAGAACTTCACAATAAGACAACCAGATATCAACAGTAGTTACTATAATGTCTCTTGTCTCTGAAATAGTTGAGCATACTTTCACACACAATAATATCAAACATAACAAAATAGTATAAAATCATTCAAGAGTATGAAAGTATTACAGGATATTCAAAACCAAATAACAGAAAATGAACAATGGCTATTAAAATCCAATAAGACACACATGATAGAACCAATGGAAACAGAAGAACAAAAAGCATGGTAGGACTTCAAAGCAAGATGATATTAAGTCAGCAATGACTGCTATAATATCTTGTTTTCTTCAAAGTAGCTGTTCATACCATCACACATAATAAAATCATACAACCCAGAATAAAACCATTCCAACCAATGAATGAAAACACTATAAGACTTCAAAGCAATATAATGGGAAACCATGATTACCATAAAATCTTATGTACTTTTACCACTTCTTATACTAGATAGACTATATGGTATTTATATGAGTTTGATTTATTTTACTTATGAGTATGGTCTCAAGTTGCATCCATTTATTTATAACAATGTGATCATTCTTTATAGCTGAGTTGTACTCCATTATATAAAAATACCACATCTTTTTTATCCATCCCTCAGTTGATGGGCATTTAGGTTGTTTCCAAGACCTGGCTATTACAAATTGTGCTTCTATAAATAGGGGTGCACATGTATCACTGTGGTATGATGTTTTCAGTTCTTCTGGGAATATGCTCAGAAGTGGAATAGCTGGGTCAAATGAGACTTCCAGTTTTTGAGGAACCTCCAGACTGACCTCCACAGTGGTTGCACCAGTCTGTACTCCCACCAACAGTGCAGAAGAGTTACTTTTTCCTCACAGCCACTCCAGCATTTGTTGCTGGTAATTTTCTTTATCCTGGCCATTCTTTCAGGAATGAGATGGAATCTCAGTGTGTTTTTTACTTGCATTTCTCCCTATTTTCCCTTTCCATTCAATTGTCTGCCACTGTTCCTGGAACCATGGTCATTTTTATCTCCTCTAGGTTGACCTTCAGTCTTCTTTGTAGGGTTGGCTTGGTGGTCCTGAATTCCTTTAGCTGTTCTTTGTGATGGAAATATGTTATTTCTCCATTTGCTTTGAAAGATAGTTTTGTAGAGTACATCAACCTGACTTGGAAGTTATTTTCTTTCAGGATTTGAAATACTTCATTCCAAATTCTTCTCAACTTGACAGTTTGTGTTGAAAAGTCTGTCATGATTCTGATGGGATTTCCTTTATAGGTGGTCTGTTTCTTATCTCTAACAGCTTTTAACATTCTGATCTTGTGTTGAATTTCTGGGATCTTGATTATTATGTCTGAGTGTAAACTTATTTTGGTTATGGCTGGTTGGAGCCCTATATGCCTCACTTATCATTTTTAAAAATTTTATTTAAAGAAAGACTAAACAAAACAGAAAATGGGTAGAAATAATACATACATTCAAAGAAAAAATAAACACTAAGAAATCACTAGTTGATGTTTACATACTGTCCTCTTACAAATAGTTGTTCAAGATACAAAAGTGGAACATATAAAGTGGGAATTCAAACAGTGAGACTGCAAACAGTTCTGTTCAACTATCCAACAAAAACTTAGTAATATGGTTATCAGTCCTATATATTTACACACACATACAGTTATCCATATCTTCATTTATGTTGAGATTAAACAAACTAAAGCAAGCTAAAATCACTCTGAACAAAAAATAATAGTATTGCTGGATTTCATATCATGACACTCTGGGATCAGCACTGGGTACTTCGGTGTCTTTTTAAAAATTTTTTTATTTAAAGAAAGACTAAACAAAACAGAAAACAGGTAGAAATAATACATACATTCAAAGAAAAAAATAAACAGTAAAAAATCACTAGTTGATGATTACAGATTTTCCTCTTACAAATGAGATATTCAGGATACTAAAGTGGAGCATATAAAGTGGGGATAAAACAGTGAGACTGCAACCAGTTCTGTTCAACTATCCAACAAAAACTTAGAAATATGGTTATCAATCCTATACATTTAAACATACATGCAGTTATCTGTATCTTCAATTATGTTGATACTGAACAAACCCAAGCAGGCTAATATCACTCTAAACAAAGGATAATCCTATTGCTGGGTGTCACATTATGACACTCCAGGATCAGCACTGGGTACTTTAGTGTCTTTTTTTTCTTCAAAGTATTTGTTCATTTCATCATGTGTCATAGGATCCATTCTCAAAAACTGTTTATAGGTTCCTCACATGCATGAGACTTAACATGTATTTCTATCCTTTCTATAATAGAGGGAGAAACAAAACAAAGCAAGACAAAACAAAACATATTCCTATAAACACATGAAATGAAAAAGACATATAAGACCGTTGTACAAAGAGTTCTACCATAGTTCCTGTGTTGTCTCTTGTTATCTTCAATAGAATTGGCTATATCATCAGATACAAGATAATTGAATATATCAGTACATAACAGTATTAATAAAAACACAACTTTGTATATAGTATAAAACTTCAAAAACAGGCAGTAATCAAACCAGAGTGGGTATCCTAGTGAATCTTGTCATCTTCAGTGTAGTTGCATATACTCTCAGACTTGATACTATCAGTCATATCAGTTTTGAATAAAATCTGTTGATACCAAACAGCAATCAAAACAACCAGATTTAAATAAGATCTGTATAAAAAAGTATAAGTCATACAGGGCTCCAGATTAAGTTAACAGGAAATTAAAGATGATTACTGTGCTATATCCTGTCTGTGCCCTCAAATGTAATGCAAGTAGACAAACTGGAACAGAATAAAATCTATCTAAGCAGACTGGTGCAAGTAATGTGGGTTTTAAATCCTGATACACTATTAACAATATCTTCTGCCATCTTTTTTAAGACTCTCCCTCCTCTTTTACTTTCCCATGATACACTGTGCATTTTTGGGTCTCACCAAGACCTTTGGTTTTAAATTGGGGGAGGGGCAACCTGTTATTTACCTAAGTGGTTCCAAACCTTCTCCCTCCTGGACTTGATCTCTAATTGTATTCCTTTACCTATTAAAGCTTGTCTTTCCAACCTATCCACAAATACTGGTCTACTTGCCCCTATTACTCTCTGGTTCTCAGTCACATAGAGCATTGTTTGCTCATATTTGATTTTCAGTCCATGTACTCTTTTTCATGTTAATTATATTTCCTATAAATAGCATCTTGGTGGGCCCTACCTCCTTATCTACTATATGTGTGGTTCTTTTTTTTTTTTAAATTTAGTGTATCAAGGCCATCTATAGTAGAGATTTTAACCAACCTTTTCTGCCTCATTTCTGTTATGCTCTTTTTTTTGCCATCAGTTGTCTGCTTGTCTTTTTCATTCTGTTTTCTGCTCCATTCATTGAGGCCTCTCTGCCACTGTTCCTGGAATCCTAGTACTTTTCTCTTTTTCTAGAATGCCCTGCAGTATTCTCTGTAGAGTTGGATTGGTGGTCGTGAATTTCCCAAGTTCTTCTTTGTCTTGGAAGCATCTTGTTTCTCCATTAATTTCTAGAGACAGATTTTCAGGCTGTATCAATCTGTGTTGGAGGTTATTGTCTTTCAGGGTTTGGAATATTTCATTCCAGGTTCTTCTTGACTTGATGGTTTGTGTCGAGAAGTCTACCATGATTCTGATGGGCCTCTTTTATAGGTAATCTGTTTCTTGTCTCTAACAGCTTTTAATATTCTGATCTTGTGTTGAATTTCTGGGATCTTGATATTATATGCCCGGGTGTGGCTCTGTTTTGGTTGTAGGTGGCCTCATGCATCTGTATATCATTTCCTTTTCCTATGTTTGGGAAGTTTTCCTTAATTATTTCTGTGAATAGCCTTTGTAGTTCCTTTGTACCCCTGCTTCTTCATTCACATTCTTTATTCTCAAGTTAAAGATCCTCTTGTCTTCTAGCCTTCATATTGTTACTCTTTCCTTGTTATTTTAAAAAAGTTTTTCCTTTCATAATTCCACATTGCAAAACTGTCCTTCAGTTTGGATAATCTAACCTTAGTTTCTTTCAAGCAGATGCCATCTTTCCATAGAGTTTTTAATTTCCTGGTGATCTCTTTGAATCTGCTTCATGTAGTCTATATTTTCTTTCTATTCTTCATCAAATGGTTCTCTCCTTTGTTTGAGTTCCTCCATTCTTCTGTCTGTGTCTTCTTTAGGGGTGCTTAGCATCTCTTTTATTAATCTTTTATCTATTTGTTTTTTTCACGTCATATTGGTAATGTGCTGATATCATAACAGTGTTCAATGGAGGCACAGGTCATGCATGGAGCATGCACACCCAATCATCACGCTTCTGAACCTGAGAATCTTATTAATCTTCTTATATCTTGCTTTACTTGGCTAAATATTTCACTTTTGAACTTGTCTATGAGGTCCTGAAGATATCTCTTTATGTCCACTGGTGCTGTTTCTGATATTGCTTGTTTGCTGTCATCATTCTCCTTTGTATTTACCTGCCCTGGGTCAATGTTCTCAGGGTTGAGACCTAGGGACTTTTTGTTGTTGCTTCCTCTTCCCATCTTTTTTGTTTCTTCCAGGAGGCCCCAGTTTCTTTCTTTGTTGGTTACAATTCTTCTGAAGCATGTTGGCTAGGTGACCCTTCCCACTGCAGTGTGCTAGTGAGTTGCAAACAGAGGTAACATATGCTGGCCCCTCCCCTCTGGATTAGTCAACCTGCTGAGGCCTTCACTGTTAGTGTGTGCTGCCTCCCCTCTGGGTCAGTCAACCTGCTGAAGCCTTCACTGCATTAGTGTGTGCCGCTGCCATAGGGAATTGATTTCAGATAACCTATTGGGTCTCAGCCAAGTCCTGTGACCTAGACCAAGCTCACTCCACCAATCCTGTTTGGGAAGGGAACAACTGACTTATATTACTGCTGCCCCTTGTTCCTGCTAGTGCTGCCCGGTCCGAGAATGTTGTCTGTTGGAACCCCCTTCTCTGTGCAGTGGTTTTATTCCCATCACTCACCACAGGTCAATGCAGCTCTTGCTTCTTCATCTTATCATATTCCTGGGTTCTTTCGAACAATTAGATTATCCAAACAATGGATGAAGTTCTTTCGTCCCAGGAACTTCATCCATTGGCTATTATTACTCTCAAGCATGACCATTTGGTTCTCTTGGCTATGAGTATGGGTATGCTGGCTATGGGTATCTGATCATGACCATTAGGTGTGCTGGTGCAGGGCTGGCTGCTGCTTTTCCCAGCCTGTGCTGGCTTCCTGACGGTGACTGGAGTGTGTGTGAAAGTGGGTCTGGTTGCTGACTCCTGGATCTGAGCTGGTTAGTTATGAGAGGCCTCTCTGATGATAGCTTAAGTGTGCATGGGGGTGGGGCTGACCACTCCCTACTAGAACTAAGCTGGTTACCTGTGGGAGGCATTCCTCATGGCAGCTGTAGTGTCACCATGTTGCTTTTATCACAATAGTTTTGTAGTATAATTTCAGGTCAGGATTATAATGCCCCTTACCTTGCCTTTGTTGCCCAGAAATGGTTTTGTTGTTCTAGGTCTCTTCTGGTTCCAAATAAATTTTGGGATTGTTTTTCTCTAATTCTATAAGATATGATGTTAGTATTTTGATTAGGATTTCATTAAATCCTTGTAACAATTTTGGAATTATGGCCTTTCCACTGTATTGGTTCTTCCTATCCAAGATCAAGGGATAGGTTTCTTTTTCTGATATCCTCTGTGATTTCTTTTTTACAGACTACTGCAGTTTACAACTTAAAGATCTTTTACTTCCACCACATTAATAGGGTCAAGGACAAAACCCACACGATTATCTCAGTAGACACAGAAAAAGCATTTGACAAAGTTCCTTTTAAACAATTTGAACAAATAGCCCCATTTCATCATAGCTCTTCTACAGTTTGGTTCAAGTATTCTAGATTTACTTACCAAATCCAGTAGCATGGCTGGATACAAAGTCAACACAAAAATGATTATTATTCCTTTACAGAAATAAACTTGGAGAGAAATTAGGGAAACAATTTTTCTCTGGAAATCAGTACACTTGAGCCTAATTTTTACCTCACTAGGGTCTTGACCTTTTAGCTTAGCTAGTTAGTTTACTCAGACTCTCCTACCACCACACCCGGCTTCATGTTGCTTCAGTTTACATTTCCCTAAAGACCATAGATTTTGAACATTTTTTCATGTATTTATTGGTCTTTATATGTCTGCTTTCTTCTGAGAAGTATCTATTCATTTTGGTTGCCAATTTTTTGACTGGGTCTTTTATTTTAGGTAGGGCCTCTAATTTTTTTTGAGCTTTTTGGTCCTCTGGTGAGTTTTCTCTTTTTTTTTTTTTGTCTTTTTCCTTTTTATCGGTACCAGGGATTGAACTCACGACTGCCTGCTTGCAAGGCAGGTGCTTATGCCACTGAGCTAAACCCCCAGCCCCGAGTTTTCTCATTTTTAAAGATTGGTGAAAGACATTTTGTTGGCTAACTGTTTTTTTTTTTTTTAAATCATATGGAGGGAGGACAGCAGCCCTAAGCTATGATGGCCAGAGTACCTAATTGGTACTTACTGAAGTAAATGTAGCTGTTGCCAGTGGTGTCTTTAGTTTTTGCCTGAGAATTCAAGGGGCTTAGCCTGTCCTAGGCAGTGCTTTTGAGGTACTGCCCTTTGACCTGTGGCACTGGCCACCCTGCTTTTTTTTTGTTGCTATTTTATCTGCTCCCTTTTGATATCTATAGTGAATTAATTATTGTTATTTCTAGTGGGAGGAATATTGTGTATAACAAATGATCAACTTATTGGTGATATTTTATTGAGGATCTTGTGGTTGTGGGAAAATTTTTTTCTTTCCAAATGGCAGAGTGAGGACCAGTAAGGCTTTTTTTTTCAAACTGTGTATATGTTAGCCCATAGAAAATCATAGTACAAGGTGATCTACAATGGTTACTGTGTTGTCTCTTGTTATCTTCAATAGAATTGTCCATATCATCAGGCATAGTATAATTGAATATAGCAGTACATAACAATATTAATAAAAATTGTAGACAGTGTGAAACTTCAAAAGCAGGTATAATCAAACCAGAGTGGGTATCCTAGTGAATCTTGTCATCTTCAGTGTAGTTGCCTATACTCTCAGACTTGATACTATCAATCATAACAGATTTGAATAAAACCTGTCAGTACAAAACAGCAATTTGACAAACCAGATTCAACTAAGATCAGTCATGATAAAACAGTGTAAGTTATACAGGGCTTCAGATTAAGTTAATAGGAAATTAAGGATGATTACCATACTATATCATGCTATTTTTGGGATAGCTGTCTGTGCCCTCAAATTAGTACACGTAGACCAACTGGAACAGAATATAATCTATCTAAACAGAGTGGTGTGAGTAATGTGGGTTTTAAATCCTGATACACTGTTAACAATATCCTCTGTCATCTTTTTTAAGACTATTCCTTCCCTTACACTCCCACAGGGTGCTGCACATTTTGGGTCACACCAACCCCCACAGTTTTTAGATTGGGGGGGGGCAACCTGCTATTTACCTAACTGGTTCCAAACCTTCTCACTCCTGGACTTGATCTCAAGTTGTATTTCTTTACCTACTTTTGTAGGTAAAGGTTCTCCTTCATTACAGATGAGTAGTTCTCTACTGCACATAAGTATCCTATCTTTCCAGCCTACCTGTGGGTGCTGGTTGAGTTGCCACTATTTCCCTCTGGTTCCTTGTCACATAGAGCATTATCTTCTCATATTTGATTTTTGGTCCATAAACCCTTTTTCAGGTTAATTATATTTCCTATACAGAGCATCTCAGTGGACCTGACCTCCTGAAGTACTCTGCCTGTGTTTCTTTTATTATTATTATTATTTTTTTTTTTTAGTGTATTAGGCCACCTGTGTTAGAGATTATAGCCAACCTTATCTGCCTCATCTCTGCTATGCTATTTTTCTGCCATTGGTTGTCTACTTTTCTCTTTCATTCCACTGTCTGCCCCATTCATTGAGGCCTCTCTGCCACTGTTCCTGAAATCCTGGTATTTTTTCTCTCTTTCTCTAGAATGTCTTTCCATATTTTCTGTAGGGCTGGATTAGTGTTCACAAGTTCCCCCAGTTCCTCCTTGTCATGGAAGCAACTTGTTTTTCCATTAATTTCTAGAGACAGTTTGCTGTGTATATCAATCTGGGCTGGAGCTTATTTTCTTTCAGGGCTTGAAATACTTTGCTCCAATTTCTTTTTGATTTAATGTTCTGTGTTGAGAAGTCTGCCATGATTTTGATGGGTTTCCCTTTATAGGTGATCTGTTTCTTTTCTCTGACAGCTTTTAATATTCTATTCTTGTGATGAATTTCTGGGATCTTGATTATTATATGTCTGCATGGAGTTCTGTATGCCTCAAACATCTGAATATCATTTCCCTTTCCTATGCTTGGGAAGTTTTCCTTAATTATTTCTGTGAATTTCTTTTGCTTTTACTCCTGATTCTTCACTCACATTTTTTATTCTTAAGTTATAGATTCTCTTGTTGTCTTCTAGCCTTTATGTTGTTAGTGCCGGTTTTTTGTTATTTTTAAGAGATCTTTCCTTTCATGATCACACATTGCAAACCTGTCTTCATATTTTGATAGTCTGTCTTAGTTTCTTTCAAGCAGTTTTGCAAGCTTTCAATGGAGTTTTTAATTTCCTGGTAAATCTCTTTGAATCTGCTTCATGTATTCTAGGTTTTCTTTATATTCTTCATTGAATATTTCTCTCTTTTTTCTGCATTCCTCCATCCTTCTGTATATGTCTTCTTGAGAGGTGCTTAGCACTTCTTTTATTAATCTACTTATATCTTGCTTTACTTGAATTAATGTGTAACTTTTGAGCTCATCCACGAGGTCTCAAAGATATCTCTTTATGTCCGCTGATGCCATGACTGACATTGCATGTTTGCTGCCCTCAATCTCTTTCCTATTTACCTCTCTTGGATCAATATTCTCAGCATTGTGGGCTGGGGACTTCTTATTTCTTTCTCTTGTCATGTTTTTGATTTCTTCCATACAGTTGTATAGTGGTGGTCTCAGCCCCTTTCCTTGTTGGTTATGGTTCTTCTGAAGCATGCTGGGTAGGGATTTTTGCTCTCCCCAGTTTGCTATTTGGTCGTAGAGGTGCAGTAGGCATATGCTGGCCCCTCCCTTCCAGGCCAGGCAATCTACAGGAGTCTTTACTGTGTTAGTGTGTGCTGCACATATGGAATCAGTTTGGGATGACTTTATTGGGTTCTGGCCAGGGGCGTTACCCAGGCCAACCAGATCCCACTAATCTGCTCTGGGAAGGGAGTAACCAACTGAAGTCATT